GGTAAGATGCATGGTCGGTGGTATTTTACTCAGCTGCATTAAAATGGAGATGGATCTATCTGCAGAGGAGACTCAGAGGAGGAGCTGTGCCCACCACTGTAAGAGCTGTCCTGCCTGGTGACAGTCATCCTCCGGGAACACTCGATGATCCTTCCCCTTCCACCCCCTCTTCGGAGAGCCTTGGGAAGAAGAGGGGAGAGGGGCATTGGACGACCAGACAGCAAAGCTCCCTGTGCTCCCTCCTTGCCTGTGCAAACTGGTTAGCACCAACACCTTCCTCCAGGCAGAGCTGCAGAGAACATCCAGTGAACAAATGCAGACAGGATTTCAAATAACCTTTGAAAAAACCTTGTGGGTTTAGTGTAGCTTATTGCTGAGACGGAGACTTCTGCAAGTACTCTGCAGGTTGGGGATTGAATTCAAAGGAAGTTGTACTGCTCGAGTTCTTACTTTGGTAAGGTCCTGTTGCAGCTAGGAGAGGGCTCTGTACTGATCCCTGCCTGCAGTGTTACTGGGACCAGCTGCAGAAAATGATACAACTTGCTGCAAGGTAAGGTGTTAGAATATGGCATTAAAACCAGCAGATTTTTTTTCTTATTTAATCTGTTTTCATTGCTGTGTGTGTTGTTTGGAGCTAATGCTTATTTAGTACTTGGGACACTTTCAGCACTTCTGGGCAAGTGAAATCTGGACTGATGGCCTTTGAGCTCCCGAGTCTGGGCAGCGAGCAGTGGTTGTGCAGCTGGGGGCGATGAGCCTCCCCCCGGCTGTTGGGGGGAGCACTAGTAGATTCAGGGGTTTGTCACTGAACTCTGGCAGCTGAGCTCAGAGTCGTCTAGCAGATGTATTTTCTTTGAATGCCTTGTCACCCATTTTCCTTTATGCAGCAACGCTAATGCCAGCTCTGAAAGAGAGCATGTGGGACAGGAGGTGGGGACTGTTCTGGGAGCGTGTCCTGCCGCAAGTGGCTTAGTCCTCAGGCACCTTCCTCCAGGTGCTGCGGAGCAGGGTTTCCCTGAGGTGTGCTGCAGTGGCATGGCCTGAGTTTGTCCCGTTCTCATCCTCTGGGTGAAGAGAGAACTGTCTTTTTTTTTTTTTTTTTTTTTTTTTTTTTTTTGATAAAGATGGCACAATTAATTTCATTTAGATCAACAGAAAAAATGGAAATCTCATTTAGCTGCATTGCTGGCTATTTATGTGTATTTTATGAAAAATTTGCCAAATACATCAGGCCTGAAAGTAAGTGGCCAGACTTAGCAGCCTTGCTGTCATCTAAAGCAAGGCTGTGCCTCTCTCCATTTTTTTCTGCACTCTTGGACCATTTTTTCCAGTCTTTGAAAAAAACATTATCTTTCAAAGAAAAGCTCTTATCTGTGTCTCAGAACCATTTTTGTTCCAATCTGTTCATTAAAACATTAAGCATCTGTGATACCAGTTCTGATCCTGGTGTGCTGTATTTTCCATCTTACAGCAGTAATATGTACAGCCCCTGTGAAGTTAGTGGTGTTCTTAATAAATATTAACATATTTATTAGACATTATAAACATCTTGATATTTACAGAAGAGTAAAAGAAAACTTGAGTTTACTGTATTGGATTTCAGTGCATGTTGATATACCCTGGCTGACGTTATTTGCTGCAACATGGAAGATATCTCGCATCAGGAAGAGCTGATTCTGCTGATGAAACAGCTCAGGATTTTCAGGAGACCTGCAAATAACACTCTAGCTCTTCATGTGTGTGAATACAGCTACTTCTGTAAAACTGTTCCCAGTCTTGAGCCATCTCTGAAGAGACCCTTTAGTGGTGCAACTGCAGTGTAGCACAGAAGGTGTGCTCTGGGTCACAGATGCCTTTAACATTTTGGCATTCCTGTGCATCTTGCAGCCATCCAGGGAACTAGGAGTGCAACTTCCAAACAAGGTATTTGGGATGAACTTGGTGTAAATCAGTGCACAACACCTTCATTCTTGTTTTCTAGCTTTAGCAATTTTGGTATTACCTTAGACTTGGAATCATGGGAAAAGAATCTTTTGGGTTTTTTAGGTAGTTTTTCTCTCCTACATATGCTGTGCTTTCACTTTGTTTGAGATAGTCTAAAATGAGGAGGGAAAAGGAAAGAAGTAAATTAACTTGGAATTGAAAGCCCTAACTCTTGATGTCCAGATTGAATAGCCAATTGGAACAGTGAAAGTACTAATTAAGCTCCTGACCTCATTACACATGATTGCATGGGAGCCCAGTACTGGCTCAGCTGTTGGAGCAGGTGTTCCGTGCGGAGCGGGTGGCTCTGGGAGGGTGAACCGCTGCCGAAGGTGCTCTGCCTGGGCTGGGCTGTCTCCCCGGCACTGTGGCAGCCGTTCTTGCTGGCTCCCAGCCCCCTGCTCTGGGTTCTGCCTCCACGCAGGGTCCTGGCCTGGCCTGGCCATCCAGCCACAGCCCCTCGGGCGGGAGCACGGCTCGGCCTGCCGGCCGGGGGGGTTGGAGATAGGGGCTCTCCCATGGAAACCCAGGGACATCGTGTGTGCTTGCTGTGGGCTAGGTAAAAACTTGTTTCCCTGGTGGACCTAGAGTGAAACACTTGCTTTGCTCCAAAGAGAAAAATAGGGTTGGAAAGCCACTGGGATGTCAATAAACCCTCTTGAGATTAGTGGATTTTATTTGGACTTTGAGTGGGTAGCTGCTGCTGAGCCAAACACAGCTGCTCTGTGTATGCTGCACTTGGGCTGCACAGTAGCTATTAAAAGTTAGTTCTGAAAGAGCGTAGACAAGGCAAATCCAGGCACTCCTCTTCATTAGTCCTAGACATTCAGATTACTGGAGGTGTTGGACTTTTATTTCTCAATATGTAAAATGTTTTCAGAGCAATTAATGAGCCTGCTGTAGTTACCTGCTGTAGTTACCTCCTGTGCTAACTGCATAATAGTTTAATCTAGGAAGAAGTACCTTTGCAAAGACCCAGCAGACCTGTCCTTTTATACAGAGCTTTTGTTCCTTAAACTGGATTCTCAAGAGAGGATGGTATCTCCAGGCATTAACCCCTTTATGTATTTTGCTTTGACCAACTTCCAGGTAACTTTCTAGGTTGCTACTTAAGGCATGACTTATCTTTTTTGAGACTTGAGCTCCCCATCTGTCACTTACTGTACCACTTGGACCTGAAGCTGAGGACTCTGGCTCATCTGAAACACAGGGGTTTTGTCACATGTAGTTTTGGGAATCCCTTTTCTTGTGCCCTTTCAGCACAGCTTGACATATGAAAGCTGATGGTATTTTTGCTTGCTCTTACTTTGTGCAAGCCGACAGCAAAACTGTGCCCTTTCAAAGATTGCCAGTGTGAAAGTATGTTTTGATTATTTTCGCTTTCTGTTGCCTTCTCTCTTCATTACCAAGTTAGGAACGGAAAGTGAGCATTTAAAAGATGTTTATAGCAGAGATTATGGTATGCTAAAAGATATCTGTTTCAGAATTACCCAGCAACATGGGTACTTCTGTTTTTCTTTTACCTCAGTTAAAAAGAAAAAATACCTAACAAATCTCATTAGCTCTAAATGCTCCTGGTTTTGAGATCCACTGATAAACCTTTAGAGTGCTCATAACTTGTATCTGTTGCTTGAATTTTTTTTTGTCTTTGCCCTTGAGTAAGGTTTGGAGACAGTAGAGAGGAAAAATTTGTGTCTTTCCTGGTATTTGATCACCAGTATGGAAGTAGACATTGGACTTTGATATCTTAGGCACTTGTCCAGCAGAAGCTGTTAACTGCTCTTAACATGGGCGAAAAGGCTGTTGGAGAAGAAACTGCTGGGTTTTGCTGGTATGGGTTGACTCTTGACAGTTTGAACTCTCCCACCTCCTCCCCCATTATTCCTTTTTATACTATATTTACTTTAGCTTACTCAAGAGCTCCATTTCAATACTTGATTCTATTTTTATTTCAGTTTTCTAGAAATTGAAGTGCTTTAATAAAAGTCACAGTAAACAGCAGTATCTCACTGTGTGATTTGTTTCACATTGTCCTGTGATTCCTGAGGAGAGACGTGGGGACGGCTCTGACCATGGCACTGCAGGAAGCCCAGGAAGGCTTTTGCTTTCAGCTGCTGTTTACTTTGTTTAAGTAACACCTGAAAGATGACCACATCAGGGGCTCTGCGGCGCCGGGGTGGCACATGCGGGAGGTAAACTTGCACTCAAGAAAAAAAACAAATGAATCACCAGGTTGACAGGTAAGTCCTTGCTGCTTCCCCCATCTCCAGGCTACCACGCTGCAGGGATCAGACGAGGATGATTCCCACCACAACAAACTCCTTGTTGCCAAATTCAATTTGGAAATGCTGGCATCGGTGTTTGGACACGCTCTGCTGTGACCAACTGGCATTTGGCAGCAGGGCTGCTCCAAGCCTTCAAGCAGAAGGAATGATGCTCTGCTGCCCAATCCCAGCCAAGTGACTCTCCTGCATCAGTGAGCCTGTGCCTAAGCTGGTTCGCTCTCTTCCTCAGGGCAGCCTGTCAGCTCTACACAGCCTGGTTCACTCAAGGCCCCTCCAAATCTGACACAGAAAGAGATAGAGTGGGTCTGATCCCCAGCTGCGACCACAGGCAGCCCCCAGGCAGCCGTACACTCTTGGGCTTAGTGGCATTGCACCTCCTATCCCTGCTCCCCCAGTGTCTGGGCACTTGGGGTGATTAGATCCATCTGCTGGAGCCCACATCTGTGTCAGAACAGAGCACAGGTGAGCAGTCCCTAAGGCACTGGCTAAAGGCCAGATTTGTTCTGCCTGGAAATTAAGACAAGCTGTAAATAGTTAAATTTGCTTACTACCACTTAAATTATTGCTTGCTGGCTTTTAAAAATTATCTGTATAATCTTTAAGCATGGCAGTATATTTGGGCTCCATTTATAGTACAAATCAGAAATGTTGTGGTCTCTTTCTTTTGGCCGGTTTGCTTTTATACCATAAACGCAACAAGGCATTTAAGTTCTGGCTGGCTCATTTTCAGGAAACATAATGAAAATGGAATTGCAACGTTTCCTACAGAAAAAAACATGTATCCCCAAGTCATCCCTTCTCATCTACTCACTGCGGTTACAGCTCAAACAAGATTTGGTTGAGTGTCAGGCATTTTAGAGTGAAACAAAGATAACTCCATTACGAGATCAATTATTCCCAATAGTGGTGGCATTATGGTATGTATACTCCATGAATGAGTCACGCAAGGCCCGATTCTTCCATCAGTCTGTAGAACAGTCCCTTCTGAGCTATTAAGTGTTCCACAGTATCAAATTCAGCTATCTGACCATTTTCCAAGACTAAAATCCTGCGAACATTAAAACAGAAATGTAAGCTTGGGGATATGGCAGCAGCTGTAATAAACTTAGTTATTTCTAAAATAATTTTAGTGCATGTTATTCAACCAAGCTTCCCAGCAGCTTTTCAGCTGGGAAACAGCTGTGGGATAGAAGTAAGTTTCTGATGAGTGACTATTCAAGTACTGAGTTTATGGGAGGAGAATTTTTTGGCAACTGAGATTGGAGTAAGATTTGTGAACCCGTATTTTAGCTTCACGATTTTAAGATGATGCAAAGAGCTGTAGCCGTGGTTTTGCTGTCAGTGGGGGGAAAAAGGGGTATGACACAGCATGAAATGCATCATGTGGGACTAAATGATCTTTGATTAACCTATTGGAGCTTGGCTGGTTTAAGACAGCTCCTTACAATCTCTATAGCAAAGCTTTGAGGGTTAAACAAGAAAAGGACAGAAACAAAATTGCTGTTCACTGACACTGTGTGGTTCATCTAGGTCACACAGGTTGCCTATGTCTGTCTTCCTCCTTAGGAAAGTGGCTGAAGAGATTACCTGTCACAGTCCATGATGGTGTTTATCCGGTGAGCTATTGTTAAAACTGTGCTGTCTTTAAACTGGGTCCTTAGGGTGGATTGAATCTGAAGATCAGTTTCGAAATCTACTGCTGCTGTGGCCTCATCTAGAATGAGGATTTTGGCTTTCCGAAGAAGTGCTCTGGCCAGACAAAAGAGCTGTTTCTGACCAGTGCTGCAAGTGAGAAGAGGGATGGTAAACAGAGCAGCAGTCACTTTTACCGGTGGTCAGAATATGTGATTAATTAGAAAATAGTAATGAAAAGGTGATTGTTCCTTTTCCTTGGAAGGGTGATTGAGGCTGGTGGCACTGCCAATTAACAGCACGAAATAACCCAAGGAAGTGAAGGGACTGTATTACTATAGCACCCAGGAGATCTGCACCTGGAACAGGATTCCAGTGTTTTTTTAAGTGCTGCACAAACACAAGCCACCACAATGATTAAGTCTCGAAGGTCTTCCACTTGGTGTCTTATGATTCGATTTCATGCTGCTAAACAGGACAATAATGCAGCAATTCGCTGTCTGGACATCTTATTTATTTTTAATTTATTAGACTCCTTGTCCCGCTAGCTCTCTGTTCTCCTAGCCCACAGGCTGGCACTGCCCTGCCACTGTGTTTTGGCAGGTGAGGTACCTTAGGTTTTCCCCTTGGTCAGTGCACTTATATTCCAGCTGATCTGGCAAATCTGCAACAAAGTTCTTGAGCTGAGTCAGTTCCAGAGCTGTCCAGATGTCTGCATCACTGTATTGGTTTAATGGGTCCAGATTCATTCTTAGAGAGCCAGAAAACAAAACTGGATCCTGAGCACAGAGACAGTACAAACAACTCCTGAAATTAATTATAAAAACAAGCTCTCTGTTTTTTCCCTGCTGGGTGCAAATCTGTGGCTAATGCCCTATTGAAGGGAGACTAGCATGGCATACAGGTTATTTCCAACTTTAAAATGTCTGAATATCCTGCCTCTCACAGAATCTATAAATTCTTCCGAGGTGTAAGGGCTTATAACACTGCTAAAGCATTTTGGAAATTAATTTCATACCTGGGGAATGACAGTTATCTTGGTTCTAAGGTCATGGAGACCTAGCTGAGCAATATCTAGTCCATCAATTAGGATTGATCCTTCTGCAGCTTCCACCAATCGCAGCAATCCCACAGCAAGGGTAGATTTCCCAGCTCCTGTTCTTCCAGTTACGCCGATCTGTAAAGGGCAATGGAAAGCTTTTGGTTTTGATGTTGACAGTTTTCTACAGTCAGACAGAACTATCATGTAGCTCCTCTTTTAAAGAGAGACAGCTTTGCATGGATCAGATCTTCAGGGCTGCTCAAGATTTGCATAGTCTAGGAATACATTCTTAAAGCAAATAATTTATAATTCCTAACTGTTTTGTATGAAAAGGAATCTTGAAAGCCTTTGATGGGAAGAATAACTAAAAGACTTGGCAGCTAGAACAGGGCCCTGATGTGGCACTAGATTTAAAAAGTGAAATTCTTTTGCTGTAACTCTGCTAACCTTCTGTGAAATGAAATCTCATTCAGAAGAATGTCTAGTGTATGCAGCAATCGTGGAAACACTGCTTTGTACTAGAATAGGTGTGCAGGGTGATGGATGGGCTTATACCTTACTGTAGCTTTCACATGTACAACATGCTGTGCCTTGGTGTAGGGCAGAGACTGTATCTGCCCAGGTCTGATCACTGCAAAGTGCTGCTCACACTCTGCAGCTCTTCTGAAACAAGTGTCTGTGCTTACCTTCTCCTGCCCATTGATGGTTAGGTTGACCTGCTTCAGTGCTAACTCCAAATTTGGTCTGTATCGCAAACTATAGTTTCTAAATTCAATTCTTCCTTCAGTGAGCCAAACATGACCTTGAAGTTTGCTGTTCAGAGTCCAGGGTGCCTGAATAGATGGAAACAAACAACAATGTGTAAAGCTGATTTAAACTACCAAATCAAGTGGCCATACCGAAAGGGAGAGCTTATGAAGACATCTGTGCCAAATTCCCCCAATCTCTTAATGTTTCCAAAAGATAAAAAGGCCTCTAACATTCATATTGCAAATCCTTACTTTATGCAAAGATGCCAGTTGTCTTGACTGAAAATGGGGATAAACATTTGTTTGCATGTCAGAGTTCTGACATTATGAGTGGCTCAATAAAAAAAGATTTATATGTCCCTGTAAACAGGACTGTGAAAGTCTCCTTCAGTAGGATCTCTGGGCAGCATATGGAGAAATAATTTTAATGATTACAGACTAAAAATGATGGCCTTTTAGTGGCATCAGTTATCAGAGAGTTGCATCTGAATGCGTGCAATAAATACATACTCCAAATATGGGCAGAAAATAAGCTCATTCCATGAGTGTTACCAAGTGAAACTATTTTAATGACAATCTAATGCTTAACTGTCTTAAGAAAATAATGATGATCAGAGGTTATAAAACAAGTCTAGTCAGCTGGATAAAAAAACAAATGCTGCAGTTTTTTAAAGGAAACATAACTGGTGTTTTAGAAGGGGAAAACAAGGGGGTTTGTCCAGGTGGAATAGAAAATTTACTGATTCAGTTTGCAGAGATGTTCACTTCTGCTAGTAAAGTCAATAGTTGGTTAGCTACCTCCTTAGGAGTCCTCAAGTATTCTCTCACTCTCTCCACAGAAACAATATTGTTCTCTATTTCCGTCCAGGAGCGCACCATCCAGTTCAGAACACCAGTTATCTAGCAGAAAGAAAGAGAGTGTTAGGACAGATAAAATGTCTTGACCTACGCTTGTGAGGTACTTGGTACTTTGTCTTAGTGTTTATTTATAAAGACCTCATCATCAGCTAATTACTTCAGAAATCATCCCTTAAAAGGCTAAAAAATAACCATGGATCCTTGTGAAAGTTCATAAAGCTGTGTTTAAAGAGCCTAGCCAGCTGCCCCCCCAGCTTCTTCTCAGCAAGTTTATAGAGAATGAAATGCTACTGACTTGCATGCTAAAAGATAGTCTAGCTATTTCTTAGGCTGGAAAGAGTCTAGCTTAGTCAACCTTGCTTCAGTTGCTCAGAGCATGCTGTGACCTAAGTGTGGGTTCAGATGCAGGAGAAAAATGATGGCTGGTACATGTGTTTGAGGTTCATTCTCTAAGGGTCTGTGTGCTCCAGGTGCCCTGGGTTTCAGCAATGACAGGAGGGTTTGGTAGGAGGAAGCATCTAGAAACCACAGAAATAATTAGTGATTTCTTAGAAATTAAAATGGTAGCAGAAATTAAAATGCAAGTTGCTTTTGATGAAAGGCAAGCATGGTATTACTTCAGTGCTGAGTTACCTGAAGAGCATATGAAATAGAGAAGCCAGCAGTTCCAGGACTAAGATGTGTTCTGCCCATTGCTGCAAAGAGTGCTGCAAACAACACAATGCCATTGCCTAGAAACTCCAGGTTTGTAGCAAGCCACCTGCAAGAGATGGAGAGGACAGGGCTGTTGCTAGGTGCCCTCTTCTTTTCTCCCATGAGAATCTGCGATTGCTTTGCAAAACACTGGTGGAGCCGTTGGGGTAGAGGATGCTCAACAAGCTCTTGTCATGCCCAGGTTGCTCTTATCTAGACACCTTGGAGCTCATGAATGGTGCTGGTCTGTCCAAACTGGTTGGCTTGTGGTCTCTGTTAGGATTTTCTCCAAGGCCTGTGTCATCTTCTGTTTATCTCCCCAAGAGCTTACAGCTTCACTCACCAAGGCCACAGGAATAAACGATCATTTTCTTTACACTGCAGATTTGTACCTGTCAGCAACTGCTCCAGGAAAGCATATTCGCTGATTCTCATCCACTAGAAAATTGTTCTTCAAAATAAACCTCTCCTGGTCCTTGTAAGCACGGATCACGCTGCTCCCTTGGAAGGTTTCTGAAATGTGGGAGTAGATGGGTGATCTGCTGGCAGCCTCTGTGCGTCTCAGCTGGCAGGAGGTGATGACGTAGAAGTGCTGGTATAAAGGGAAATGGAAGGGCAAGTGATTTGGTGGTTTATGCTTCCATGGAGGTGCTCCACAGAAAATGTGGGCAGGGCTCAACAATTGCAATAGTATGTACTCTCCTGGTGTTGTAAAACCTAATATGCAGGTAGGAGATGTCCTTAAAAGGTGAGGTGGCATTTCTACCCGTGTTATGTCCTGTCTTCATTAAGAATAACCCCATGGTTAGTTAATGCAAAGAAGCCAGGGTACTATGAACTCACAAAGCCTCTAAACTTACACTTACTTTCTCCTGTAGACCAGCCCTTTGCTTGATGGAGAACAGAGGCACACTTGCACCCTTACTTGCCCTTCCCTTATGTTCAGTCTTAGCTGACAAAGTATTAGAGGTCTCAGCCCAATGGGAGAGCTGTGTGGCATAGGTGGATATATTAAAAGGCAGTGAAGGAATGCTGGAGGAAAGAAAAAATGCCTTTGGTCTTAATATTTAATTTACAGTTCAATTACAGTTATATTCATTAAGAATATATCTCTAGGTGGGACTTGATCTGGACATCAGAAAAGCACAAGCCTCTGTGAGGTCTCTGGCATGCTTTGGAAGGCTGAGGTGATGTGGGAAGTGCCACTGATATTACTCCTGTTCAGATGCAATTCGAGGTGATGAAACTAGTTTCTGTATGACTCTATTCTTAATAAATGGAAGGAGTCTTTCTGCAGGGACACAGCCATGCTGCTTCAGCCTCTCCTGTGTGTGTATCTCTGAGCTCCTACCTGGAATACAGCATAAAGAACAGTCAAGGGCACTATGGCCATCGCTGCTCTTGGTGTAGTCACTATAATCACAAGATAAATCTCCAGCAAGTTGAACAAGAACCCCAGCAAGGACTTCAGCTTGTCAGGGATGACGGAATCAATAGCATCCATTTCTCTGGAGAAGCGGTTCAGTAAGTTTCCAATGGGTGTTTGCTCAAAGAAGACCATTGGGGATCTAGCAACGTTCCTCAGCAACTGCAGAAACAGCTTGTGTGATGCTAACACACCACCGAGAAGGACTGCTGCTGTGGAGACAAATCTGCCAAGGGCTGTAATATAAAAAATAATAATTTTTACTAAGTCTGAACAAACTCATCTTGGAGTTCTACTTTGCAAGATTATGATTTTTACTTAGTACTGTGATTACTATACTAGTTGAAATGAGCTGACTGTCTCTTTGCTAGCAATTAAGCCAATCCTCAGAGCTGCAGGGTAAACTACCTTTTCTGTAGGGTAGTTATAGAGGGGTGGAAGACTTTCTAAGCAAGCTTGACAGGGGCCACAGATTCAGCAATTTAAACACACAGGACAAATCCTTTATTCTTCACAAAATGAGCTTGACTGGAATGACTCTGAATTACTCAAAGTCTTGGGTTTCCTGCCCCCAGATTCACTGTTAGCACAGAAGGGTACCCAACCCTTCCCACTCTTTTCAACTTGTTCCAAGCTTTCTCAATCTTTTGTCACTTGGGCTGAGATTTTTCCAGATTTGATTTCTGTCCTAAAACAGGTGGTTTATTTTTTTAAAGGGTGACCAAAAGAATTGTCACCATTTTTAAAGAGTAAGATTTAAAGAAATGTAGAATTCCGTAAGTTCCTTTTTTTCTCTCAAAAGACCTCAACCAAGATCTAATTCAGCATGGAGAAGAGTCACCACTTGCACTCGGATACAATTCATTTATATTGGAGGAATGGAAAGGGATAAGAGAAAGAAAGATAGGTGGATGATGTTGGATACAAGGGGGCAGGATAGAAAAATAAGGATGTTCTAGTTCTTCCATTGCTCAATGTTTAAGGGCTCAGGTTATTTAATTCCAGCAGGAAATTCAGAGGAAGATACTGTTCATCATGGTCTGCTGAAAGGCTCAGGAGAACTCTTCTAGCATACCATGAAGTAGAATTTCAGGCAGTAACACTGGAAATATTGTTCAGATCCCTTAGAAATCCTCTGTGCGTCAGAGCCTGTAGTTTTAGGTCCCATGCCAAACCTTTAGGGCTGGTGCCAAAAGCCCAGGAGGCTAAAAGCCCATGGGTATGCACTTGTTTATATTCTGAGAAAACATCCTGGACATGGGAAAGGGAGATGGAAATACACAGAATTAGGTGAGCAAGCTAAATGAACCTTGAATGACTCCTAGTGCACCAAAGACTCCAACTCTCAGCTCTGTGTGATGTTGTGTCCCGTTGTGGACAGGGTCATCTGTCCATATGCTGAGCCAGTAACCACGAGAAAATGACACAGCTTGCTGACATGTGTACAACAGGATGATGTACACACACAGTGGTAAGCCTGTCGCCTTCAGGTAGGCTGTGTAAATCGAAGTATTAACCTAGAGCAAAACAGTTGGGGAGAAATAGGAGAGGTTGGGAGGATCAAGCTTGTTAGCAAGGAAAAACAGCTCTGAAACAAGGAATTATTTATTATAGTGTATCTACTTGGTTATCTATCATGGGCTATAGGAACCATGTTAATTCTTTTTTTGTTTTTCTCATGGATGAATAATGAAGCCATGCTTAAATAAATCCATGGTGTTAATGAGTGATTATTACTGACTGATGAATGTTACTGCAATAGGCTCATGTTACTGGTGGAATACAGGTAAGGCTTATGCCAGGCCCTGGTTTTCATTTGTTCTTGGTGTGACTGAGAACTATAATGTATCCCACTGACTGCTTGTGAGTAACTGCTGATGAGCAGAGTGAGGAGATCCCAGTCTGGCTAATACTGTGCTTCCCTAGGGGAACAGCTGCCTCCTTTGGGGTGTCTGACTTCCTACTCCCATCTCTTCTCAGTTACCAGTATGTAGCTTCAGCAGTTTGTTTCCTCCCCATGTTTTACTGCTGCTACCGTGTTCCCTGAATACACACCTCATCTGTGCCTGACTCCTCCTAGCTGGAATCCCACACCTGCTGCTTGCCTTTCACAGTACCCTCCTTGCCTTGTTGCCCCTTCCCACTAGCCTCAAGAGTTTGTGGACAGACTCAAGATTACAAGTTCCTTGTAATCTATCCTCTTCTGGCCCTTACCACCACCTCACCCTGATTGCCTCATTGCACTCTCCACCTTCAGGTCAACTCTTGAACTGGGATCTCTCTCCTCAAGTGGTTATATTTTTTTTTACCTCTCTCATTTCCATAATGTGCTCTCTGCAATGTACATGCATTATTCTTATTTTGGAACCAGTGCTCAGATCAGGGATCCAGGGAGATACAGTTTGCATAGAAGGTGCTATGTAAAGTAATGCTGGAATGACTTTGTCTCAACTGTAGGGCAAACTTGTACAGCATAGCTGACTTCCCTGGAGCTGCACTGGTTTAACTTAGGCAGTGAGCTGACCTGCCTGCTGTGAGTGGATCAGTAATAAACCCATAGTATGTGTCTTTGCCTTTAGAAGAAGATGCTGTGCTTACCCTGCCATGCTGAGTTTTCTCTCCCTTGGTTAATCTTCCTTCAGTGGCTACAGCAGTGGTAGAGTCTTGACTTACAGGAATAGTCTCCCTTCCCCTAGCAGATGATTTGACTGAATTGTCACTTCTTAAAGAAAACAAAAATCCTTTCAATTTTTAGCCAAGGCAATGAGTATTTTAAAGCTAGATCTCCTTACCCATCCATCCCTATATTCATGTCTATTTTGAGGGCTGCAGTTTTTGGGGTCCTCCCGAGTGACCCCAACCACTGTCCTTATTTATCCCAGGGGCTGGGCTCTGTCAGGCTATTAACAAACAGAAGCTTTCAGCATTCATTAGCTGTGGCTGGATTGAAATGTCAGACCTTATAGCCCCACTGGGAAGGGAACAGCAGGCCTTGTACATGTGCTCTGGAACAAATTTTGTCTCCTTGTGAAATAAGGAGAAAATGTTAGTCAACCTCCATATTCAAGAGCAGTTTCTTACCTATTCTTGAGGTTTGCTTGTTTACTCTTAATTTACAGATCAATCCTAAGCCTGTATTGTACTCAGTAATAACCTTCATGTAGGCTTATATGGGCTTTTGGAGCAAGTTCTTCAGTGTCTAAGACCACTTTAAGCTTACCTAAAGAGCTTCTCCTGTGATGGAGCATTGCTAGAAGTGATGGTGTCTTTGGTGTCTCCTATAGCTGTCAAATAAATGCATTTTTTTCCTAAATGCTTTAGAATCCCATTTTGTCCTGTATACCCTTTGAGAAACTGATAATATGGAGGAAAGATTAATTACAAAGAGTTGTTTCTAAGGGTAGAAATATCAAGGTGAGACTTGAAGAACAGCACATATAGTCGGTAATTCTGTTTACCCCATGATTGTTGTTTACTAAGATGGAACTGTTTATTCAAGAACTGATCTTGAGGTGATGAGTCAGCTAATTTGGCAAGCATATTTTTTCCCATACAAAGTGACAGCTTACTGTGATTGGATCTCAGCTCTAAAAGTCCATAATAAAACAAATGTAAGACTGGCTTTTCCAGTTTAATTCTTTTCCCTCTTCCCAACTGTGAACAGCAGCAGACACCCACCCACCCCCTCCCCCACTAGTTCTTCAATGTTAAGTATAATATTAAGAAAACAATTGACTGATAGACCTAGGAAGAATGATTCTAACTCATTTGGGTTACCTGGAAAACCAGCATCTGCCTTCTCTTCTGGAGTAAAGTGTGAATGAAGGAATTCTGCGAAAGCCCCATTTCTCTGTAGAAGTTCTTGGTAGGAACCAACTTCTGAGATCATTCCATCCACCAGAAAGACAATGTTGTCCACTTGAGGCAAAATGTTGATTGTGTGAGTCACCAGCACACGAGTCTGCTTGAACGAAGAGGAAACAGTTACAATAGTTCTGGTGATTCCCTGCACACTCGAGCAGTTGCAGTCAGCTGTCTTCTGAAGACAGACATGTACTCAGCGTGAGCTATGATTTTTACTAACTTGGAGATATTTTTGTTATTTATTCCCATCACTTCTGACTGTCTTTTTTGCTGAAGTTTATCTTTGCAGCACAGCTCTGTGCCCATTTTGAAAGTACAGAACTTGAGAGCAGAGGGGTGAATCAACTTGCTTTGTGTCATGCACACCATAAAAGAGTGAGGATGGGAACTGAAGCCTGAAGTCCCAGGCTAGCACCCTGTATGTAGGAGGGAGGACCTTTTGCTTGACTCAAGAGTTTCATGTTGTTGATTGCCCTCATGAAGCTCTTAAGTAGAATGATGTTAATTGGAAAGCATGTCACATTTATTGTCACTGATACCAATACTTTAGAATTAAATTTGTGCCTGAAAACTTCATCAATCTGAGTGGAGTTAGAGTGCAGCTCCTCTTTATTTCCATTTCTGAGCATATTTGCACAGATAATTACATATTGGAAAGGACATAAGAAAAGTAGTTTTTCCCTAGATAATAAATTGGCACATTCTATATTTCTAATATACAATCAAGCCCTTCGAGTACTGCTTAAGTCCAATACATTCTTTCTTCACCAGTCTTTATGTTTCATTGCAATAATTATAATCTGATACTTAACCTCCACATGAAGAGAAAGGTATTTGTAATCAGCCATGACTGTTTTAATTGGACTTTCTAATGAAAAAAATGTACTTATTTTCTTTCTACAATGTGAAACTGAATTAAGTATTTGTAGCTAGTTTATACCGTGAAACAAATAGAGGCTGCCCTAGCATCCCATCTCATGTAACCACATTCATTATCCAAATTGCTTGACAGCAGAGAAATACCAAGGAATAACAAAACACAACCAATGCAAAAAAGAATGGAAGAGAGGTGTTCAAGTTAGATTTTAAGACTGAAATTTAAATTATGAACATCTGGGTGATTAGAACAGTGAAGGCATCACTGAACTATTCAAAAGTGATGGGATTAGACATTTTGATAAGATACAATGAGTTGGAAGAGATCAGACAGTAAATCTCAAAAAGGAAGAAGGATAATGTCAATGAAAGAACTATAAACTTGCTGTAGAAGGCTGGAACTAGGCATGTGGTTTGCATGAGGATAAAGACAGTCTTTCAGGAGAGCTTAACTTCTCAGTCTTTCTCCTCCGAGGTGAGATTCACTGTAGGACTTCCATCTGCTGTGTGGACTGCAGAGGTTACCATTCTGCTTCCACTGTTGCTAACACTAGTACCTGCTGCAAAAAGTAATTTGGGAGCCTTTGATAAAGTAACCCACATTAATGGAAACATTTCAGGGGCCCTGATAATTAGATGCATTTTGCAGCCTTTTACAATTCAGGATTTATAACGCACCTTGTCCTTCAGTAAGCCATTGGGTCCAAGAACATGTTCAAAAATGTGCTGTCCAACATGGGCATCAACAGCTGAGAGGGGGTCATCAAGTAGGTAAATTGAAGCATTTTGGTACACGGCACGAGCAAGGTTCACTCTCTGCTTCTGCCCTCCAGATATATTTACTCCCTGTAAAAATGCATTGTCACTGTTTATTCCAAAGCTACAGTATATTTGCCAACTGTTGGCTCCATGTTTCACTAAGGTTTTATGACTTCCTTATTTTTAAATCAGTGCCTCTCCCTTGCTCCAAACAGGGCTCTTGAAATGCAGAGGCAGATTTTCTTGAGCAACTCCAGTCTCCTGCAGAAGAGGACACAAAAATGACCTGGATTTGTTGATTTTTGTCTTAGGCATCTCTCTTATCTCTGGTTAGGTCAAGAGGTGGGCTTCAGACCCCATTAAATCATGTCCTGACTTCTCAGAAATTACAGAGCACCTGCCTCCTGCAAGTTTAATTCTTTTGTAGGTGTTTTAAGCAAGTCACCCAAAGCTGTAGCTACTCATGGAAAAGTTGGCCAAAATATGAACCCAATCCAGTACCTTCTCTCCTATTTCACTCTTCTGCCCTGCAGGGAAGCTCTCCAAATCAGGTTGCAGTGCACAAGCATCTATCACTCTGTTGAACCATGTTTCATCTAGCTCTTTCCCAAAGAGAATGTTATCTTCCACTGAAGCATTTTGTATCCAAGGTTGCTGGGGAACATAAGCTGCAGTGTCCTACGAAAATGGAAGTGGAAGAATGTTAACAACCTTTTTCATAAGCTCACCTTGACATTGTGGGAACCCATCTTTGAAAAGGACCTCTCCCAATTAGATTTATAGAAATCTGGAATGATCATCACCATTGACAGGTCTTAGAGGACTTTGCAAAATATGAGTCTGCACTCTCATTATCTTACAGAGGAGGAAACAGAGGTACAAATACATGTCGCAGTTTACCAGGATGCCACTTCAGCTCACTGTCAGAGTGGGAAATGGAACTGGATCTTTGAAGTCCTGTTCCATTTCCAAGGGCCAGGCTCATCTGAGAGCTCTTAAGCACCTGCAGATAATTAAATTCGGGCTGCTACATAAAGCTTTTGTTAAAATACAGCAGTAAATGGGTTTTCATCAAATACCTGATGCCCTGCTTAGTACCTTACTGTTCCTGAAGACAGCCTAATTAGAAGCAAAGGCTCAGGGGAAAATTTACCTTCATGGTCACGCAGCCATCTGCCTTCTCCAGCTCACCAAGTAATGCTGACAGCAAGGAGGACTTTCCAGCACCCACCTGGCCAACTACAGCAAGCAAGGAGCCTTGAGGCACCATAAGATTTATGCTATAGAGAAAAGATTAGTCTCATATCACCTTTTAGATACACTTTTCTGAAAAGAAAATGATCAAAATTATTGCTATTGTCTTGCAGCAATAAAAATGTATGAACCGAATCTGCTAATTCCATACTTGCACAGGGCTGCTCTTCCTGTCATGCTGATTTTTTGCAGCAGAACAGGACTCGTCCCTTCAAAGACACCTCCAACCAGAAAGTCTTCATCCACATCCCCATCTGAGTTTCAAACCCAGGTGCCTACTCTGGAGACAGGCTAGTCCAAAGCACTGCATATGAAACATTCCTGAACATCGGAACTTTTCAACACTGTTTCTTCTCTAAAACTGCAGTGCCTCTTGAAATAAGCATGTAGTAATGTCATATCTGCATACCATCAATTCTACTTTTTTGACTTAAATTACTGTAATTTCATATTTGAACAAGAAAATTGTGTAAAGAAGGCAGTCTCCATATATTAAGGCAACATCCAGATATAGGTACCTTCTCCATTTATGTATTCCCAAGCATAAAAGCAAGATTACATTTTGTCTGACTTCGTTATTTTCAGAATTCAACCTGAAGCAAAAATCAGAAGCCTCTAGATGTTCCACACTGGTTTCATTTAGTCCCTGAGACATTAGTTCATGCAGCATCCCCTCAACCTACAGAATTGAGATGACTAAGGGTAAATCTGTACCTTCTAAGACAAGGAGAAGTCTCTCTGCTCCAGCAAAAAGTCCCATTGTTTATGGTGATACTTGCCTGTACTAAAATATGAGGAGAAATGGAACACTTGTAAATTCCAAGGTAGGTACAGAAACATCTCTATTTATATGACTTTATGTTTCAGTGTGTATTTGTATTACATAAAATGAACCTTCAGTATGAAAAGGGGTTAGTTACCATATTAGATTTCATTTTTAGAAATAAATAGGCCTAAAAACGTGACAGTAAGGGACAATCGTTTTTCTCTCTTGACTATGGTAGGCATTCTAAGAATGGAAGCTGAACAATGGAAGCTATTCCTCTTATAAGACAACAACGCTGACACAAAAGCTCACCACAGTCAGAAGTGTTTCTGCTTAAGCTCTCAGGATTCAGTTCTTCAAGATTCAGGAAAGCTGCTAAGCGGTTTAAAGAAACTTTGGCCTGAAATGAAGCACACAAAAGTATAAGATTTAGAATAGTAAGGGAGCTAAAACTCAAAGTGAAGACTCAATTAGAAGACCCACTTAAAATGTTGACTAGGTGCTATGTTGCAGATGCTATAAGCTTAGATGGACAAATGCAGCTCTTTCTTGTGTTAATTACCTTTATTTCTACTTGGCTTAGCAAAACCCCATATCCTTCCCTGTGTTTTCTTTTCTGTTCACACAGTGAAATTGGTGCTTTTTTTCTCCAGTTTATCCTGCAATCTTTCCAATTATTGTTTCTGTACAGGAAGAACTGTGGCAGTTTTCTTGGGGTGCAAGAGGGAAATGAGTTTCCCAGTTTCTTACTGGACAATGACTTGCTTTTCTCTATGGCCTGGGCTAGCAGGGTTTCTGCTGATCTCCCATGGAGATTTTGCTCCATCTATTCTGATTTCTGTGATTAAAAACAGAACTGGAAGCACCTCTGAAATCTAATGGTGCTTGTGATTGGTGCCAAAAGACTTGGTGGCTATTCTGTCAATATGTGGAGCCTTTCTGAAAAACAATACTACGAAGTACTTTTTAGCTGCAAGTCCTTGCACTTCATTGTTTCACAGTAGCAATTAAATAGCTAGCCCTGGCGTTCAAAGCCCTAAGAAATCCCTACCTTTACCTGTTAACGGTGGTATATAAAAAAAACACTTAGAGCCAAAGAACAAGGAATGTAGCCTGCAATTAACCTGGACAGCAGCATTTATGGAGAATGGCAGGAAGGAGTGTGCAGTGTTGAGAATGCTGATCAGTGTTAAAGATACAAAGGCCTTCTGAGCATCCAGGACATGTGTGTTATCCACCAGGGTATAGACAGCAAACATGACAAATGCAATCTGAAAGGGAGCAAAGGAAAAGCAAACCATTTGTTTCAGACAGGGAAAAGAATAGTTCAATTATGGGCAGGCACCTTCCCAAAGTCTCTGGAACCCACTTAGTTAAATCCAGGCTATCACCACACACATCCTGCAAATATCATAGGCAAAGGTCTTGCATGTTGGTGACAAAACCAAGTCTGATCACTTGATGTTTGTTCTGCTTTAAGGAAGTTTTGGTGCTACAATCACAGCAAGGTGAAAGCACAGCCATTTCCCATTGAAAACACACATGGCTTAGCTGCAACAGCAAGTGCAAAAGTGGCTTGTGCAGATACTGACTGCCATGAACTCTGTCTAGCTTGCAGGTCTCCAGGTGGCTCATGCAAGACAGGCTCAGTCTGCCTGGAGCACATTGCCAGACCAGATGCTTGTCTACTGAACTCAGGACAGTGTAAATGTCTGTGTGGCTGATTCTACCAGGGCTCCTGTGAGAACACCATCTCCTCCAGGCAGATAGTTGTCCCACAGGAAAAGTCTGTCCAGACAGGAGTACAAAGAGAGATGGAAGTAATACCACATGTTTAATGTAGGAAGGTGAACTACTCACCAGGAAAGTTGATGAATGGAAAGAAGCTAGAGATGCTGCAAAGAGAATCTGAGATCTTTTTAGGGCCTGAAGTTCTTGCTTCCGAATACCAAACACTTTCTCCATGAATATCTTCTCCCAGCCATACAGTTTGATTACTTTAATGTCACTGAGAATGGCATTGGTGAGTTTGGCCCGCTCATCTTTATGTTTCATCTGGATCTCCTGTAATAAATGTTTGAGTTTTATCATGTAATAGGTTAAATGTCTAACAGTGCAACTATTCTGAAAAAAACACCTTATCTCTGCTTATGAATCCTGATTAAATTTCCCTGCAGTTGAGCTGTGTATACTGTTTTGCTTACAAATCTTTCAGGCTGGGAAATATTTTTCAGGCAATACATAAACCCCACAGAAGACGTGGTCTAACAAGGTAAAAGATGGAACATGCAAGATCTTACTCTAGACTTCGAGAAACTTTACTTCAGACAGTCATGGTCAGCATGAATAATAAATGTTAAGCCATCACTTGCATGTTTAATGTTAGTTACTTTTTGCTTAGTTTTTCTTTTTTTTTTTCTTTTTCTAATGTTACAGCTTTTTTTTTTTTTTTTTTTTTCCCCTAGCATGCACGCCTTCTGTAATAATCAGTAGCCTTGGGTTCCATGTGATCCTTTCCTGGAAGAACACGGCAGCCTTTAACTTAGATTTAAATGCAGTATCATAGTATAATTCAACTTGGTAAACCACTTCATTTTTATGAAGCAAAAGATACCTGAAACTGACTCCTCTTCTTGGTGATCATGAAATTCAGAGGCAAAAGAAAAAGGAATACAGCAATCGAAGTCAAGGCTGATGGCCCAAGAAGCTGCCAGGAGTGAAAAGGACAGAGTAAGAACTTCTGGTGATTACTAGAAGTGACTGTTTTCCATTCCCCTTTGCTCACCTTCCCTCTTACTTGAATTTAGGCCTAACATCCCTCTGGCTTCACTCTAATCTTGCCTTTGCCTTTCCTGGTAATTGTGCTCCTTAAGTACTGTGGATTGTTAACTCTCCAGGCAGGGTAAATCCTGTCATCACACTCTGCTGAATTTATTTGCTTCCCTTTTAGGAACTAGATTAGTGCTGAAAGCAATCCAGAAGCATGCTGGCAATTCCAAGTTATTTCTGTTGGTGCCCAGCTGTCCTTGGATGGGTTAAGGAGGACATCTTGTGGCTGGCATAAGTAAGTGACCCAAAACAAAACCAGATTTTGTTTAAAAATAAAAACCCCAAACCCTCAACAAACTATTCTTGCAGCATAAATAACCCAGTTTGTCTGAATTTATGTCAACTAGTGAGATGAAATGGTAGCATTATACTGTGCCACGTACTCTTGGGACAGCTCTTGGATACCAGGGCTCATAATGATTTGTGTCTCAAAATAGAGAGCTTTTTTTCTCATGGTTTAGTTATATCTCTCTACAGATGGCTTACATCTGTTAGAGAGGTGAGTGCTGGTATACGCAGACAGATAAAAGTATTCTCTACACAAATGGTCTATAAACTCTCGCAAACAAAGTGTTAATTATGGAACCACATTCAGTTTGTCAACATCGCTAGGAAAAGGATGATGATTTTTCAACAGTCTACACCATAGCTACTAATTTTCCAAGGCCATAGTATCCTGTGTGCCAGGCATAAGCCACAGTCCATCCTGGTAAGCAAAGGAAGGTCTCAAAGGCCTCCAGAAAGCTCTTGGGAATCAACTGCCTTTACAGCACTCATACTTCCATTTGGTGTGCTGACAAAAACAGGGACTAAGAAATAGGGCTTTATCCTACTGAGAAAATACCACACACTGAATTACGGTGGGAAAAGAATCTTTTAGATTATCACCTTTTATTTCTAATTCAGGTTTTTCTCTCTCCTTCTTAAAGTCCTTGATACCCATAAAATTAAATGTACCAATACTCTTTTTCAATATCATATAACTTTGCTTCAAACTGTTTCACTGATCTTGTGGCAGTCAGGCTCCAGGATGATGTCAAGTATTTCAGACCATTTCCTACATGTTCTGTTATTATGTTAAGGAGCTGGAACTGGCCTCTCAGCCTGCACTGGGCCACCACATTTTGGTTGAAAAGAGAGATGACAGAGGAAAATCCGAGGCAGAAGTTTATCAGTCAGCTCAGAATAATCATATTCACAGTCTTTTCCCTAAAAGAGGCTGGATGCTGAGTACACAGGTGAGATGATGAAGTGAAGGATCAGGTAAGGATTCTATACCAATAAAAATATCTTTTAAAAATAAAAGTGAATTCACCATGCTACAGAACTAAAAGATATATAGCAATTTCAGGTTATTCAAACCAGCAAAGTTCTAACCAGAATTTTGAAAACTTCTTTTTCCTTTGATATGTAGAATAGAAAGGGGTTGGTAAGTGCTGTCATCATACTTCACCTGCCACAAGAAGACAAAGCAGATGATAATCCGAATAGGAGCAAGCCAGGTCCCATTAAAATAGATAATCAGATCCATTAGCTTCTGGACATCAACAGATACCAGATTAACAATTTCACCTACTGTTGCTGCTTTCCTTGATGCATTTGACATAACTAGGATCTAGACAGGGTGGAGAACAAAAGAAAGGTGGTGTCAAACAACAGCTTTGGTCCAAAAATCAAATAAATTTCTTTTTCTTATAAAGAAAGAAAGAAAAAGAGATGGAGAAAAATGTCAAATCCTAGATACTGAAAAGATGCTGTTGCCTGGGATATGTGACTTCACTTTAAGATAAAGAATGTACTCCTTTCCCTAACCATAATGTATAGCATAAGAAAGTTTATGTTGCTTTTTCTTTTACTTGGCTTTTTCTTCAGAGGTAAGATCTGAAAAACAAATAGTAAAATACCTCCCACATACTGTTCAGAGACTAATATAGCACAAAATTACATCCTCAAAGTAGTTTGTAGTAACAGCCCCCCCGATATTGTTAAGAATGTATTGTACCATTACTGTACCAACAATGTCATAGCTACTAATGTAGGGCTAGAAAAAAATGAAGCTGGAAAAGCAGCTAGACTCACCTTCCTGTACACAAGCCCTGTTACTGCAGTTTTCAGCCTCAACCCCAGAACAAGACACATGTACATATATCGTTGTTCAAACAAAGTCTGGAGACAAGCCAAAAGGAACATAGTGAAGGCATAGAAATAACCATGCCAGCTAGGGGCTTCTTGATCCTCAATGAACTCCAGGAAAAGGCTGCAAGACAGGAGCAGTACGTTGATGAATCCATGTAGAACTGATTGATTCCATGTAGAATTCATGCACAAATACAGGCTGGGCAAGGAGAGGATTGAGAGCAGCCCTGCAGAGAAGGACTTGGGGGTGTCAGTGGATGGAAAACTGACTGTGAGCCAGCAATGTGTGCTCACAGCCCAGAAAGCCAACCGTGTCCTGGGCTGCACCCAGAGCAGTGTGGGCAGCAGGGTGAGGGGGGGGATTCTCCCCCTCTGCTCTGCTCTTGTGAGACCCCCCCTGCAGTGCTGTGTCCAGCTCTGGAGCCCCCAGCATAAGAAGGACACAGATGTGCTTGAGTGGGGCCAGAGGAGGTCACAGAAACCATCAGGGGGCTGGAGCACCTCCCTGTGAGGACAGGCTGAGAGAGTTGGGGGGGTTCAGCTGGAGAAGAGAAGGCTCCAGGGAGACCTTAGAGCAGCCTCCCAGTACTTAAAGGGGCTACAGGAAAGGGGGGAGGGACTCTTGATCATTGAGTATAGGGACAGAACAAGGGGTAATCGGTTTAAACTGAAAGAGTGTAGATTTAGATTAGATATAAAGAAGAAATTCTTTACTGTGAGGGTGGTGAGACACTGGCACAAGTTGCCCAGAGAAGCTGTGGCTGCCCCCTCCCTGGAAGGGTTCAAGGCCAGGTTGGACGGGGCTTTGAGCAGCCTGGGCTAGTGGAAGGTGTCCCTGCCCATGGCAGGGGGGTGGGACTGGATGATCTCTAAGGTCCCTTCTGACCCAAACCAGTCTATGATAAATAGCAGACCCACAAAAATGCAGAAACACCAGGGATTTTCCTGTATTCTCTCTGACTGATGTTTTTCAGTAAAACAGTAGCAGAGTTGGAAAAACTGCTAAGTAGCCTATATCTTATAATACCCTGATTTTTGACATTGACAATTGGTTTTGAAGCAATCTCTGATTTTCTCAGGGGAGATCTCACTTTCAGTGTTAAGGATGGCTCCGAAATTTCATGAATTTGTCAGAAACATGCAAATTGGGAGCCATAACCTAAGGAAGTCATTGACATTTCCAGATATTCTCTTAATGACTAAGTGATTTTTACCCTTGAAATACACTCTAATGCAGGTTTGTGTTGTACCAACACAATCCACAAAGCATTATGTCAGCTGACTGAAGTAACTATTTGTGTAGGATGCACAGATGTGCACTTTATAATTAGTTATACAATTTAGAAATAATTATTTATCTAATTTATAAATAATAGGAGCCTTAAGACTACAGCAAGAGGCTGACAGCCTGTGCAAAAGATGGCATATGTAGAATCATCAAATAACTCCCGTCTCTATAAAGCTGTCAAAGGCTTAGTGCAGCCTGTCCTTTCTGTTGTTGCAATACAGCAATGGAGAAAGCGTGCCTAGCTTTAGACAGGGCATTAGGTTTTTTTCCCACCGAGTTGACTGTGGGCTTAGCACAAACGATAATCCATCTCTTTTCATCAGCAATAGGAGATTTCAAAAGCCTTTGCGTGTCCACCTCTGTGGGTGCTGGCATACACATCTTTCTGCGAGCTCGTGCACACAGTCTTGTACGTGTGATAGACATACGATATAAAAATGAACACACCTCAGTAACTTTGGGATGGAGAACAAGAAGACATCACAGATAACTAAGCAGGCAGTGCTGAGAAGGAAATAGGTTCCAAACATGCTCCAAAATGTTCTCAGTAAGGGCCCACTCTGACTGTGCTCTGAATGCAGTAGAACTTCTGTCTCTTCAGCTTCTGCTATGCCAGTGTCACTCTTCTGACCTTTTTTAAATGTAGCAGACTCCCTTTTTCTAAAGAAAGAAACAATGAGAAAGCTAGCCATGATTGAAGAAAGCTTGGGAATCTCGTGCTTTAAGAAAATCATTAAGTATCTCACACTGGGTCTCATGCCATGTCCAGTATAAATGCTCATCAAAAAATGATTCCTCTCACAAAAAGCTTAGTTTCATGCTTCCAGGAATGGAAGGATGTGCATCAGATTTCAACGCTTAAAATCAGATTTGTCACAAAGGAACTCACTCGCTAAGTGTCACCCACTGAAGAGTAAAGACCCTCAAGTTTTCATAGCAGAGTGTTACTTGGACCATTTTATGTACACTATCCTTTTCTTCTTGTTGTTTAATGGACAGTGGGATTGAATCTTCCAACTATGCTCTTGTCCAGGTAGGATGCACCTAGTAGAGCTTACATTCAGAGCCTGAATATGTGCTGAAGCAGTATGTCTAACGCTCCGTGGGAATGCAGGGGATCACAGCCTGTTCTGAGATGGCACACCAGCACCTGTGAGTGTATTTGCTTATATGATCTAGAGGCAAGGGAGAAACTGCCCAGCTGAGCCCATGACATACTCTCTAGATCAAGTACTCACTGCTGGGTTCTGCTGTGACACTTCTTCCACTCTCTCTCAGCCCAGGCAACAATTTCTTCAGAGGAGTCCTCTTTCCTCACTGGCCACAAGTCATCCACCCCCAGGGACTGCTGGCAGCCTTTCCGGACGAGCCTGGAGAGCACACGAACTGCTCTAAGGTAAGCACGAAAGACTGGTTGTGCACGTAACATTTTTGAAACAGGTGGACTTTAAGTTAGTGCACCACAGTGAGCATACAGGAACGAACTTACACTACTCGGGACTGTCCTTTCCCAGAATGAATATGAATGTTCAGGAACAGCAGTTTTGCTTCAAATCCCTATGCTATCTTCTGTCAATACAATGAGGATGTTCAAGTAAGCTCTAATTTCTAGTCCATACTGAGAGGTGGGTCTTGAGCAATGGGGGACAAAGTTCAGTTTAACTTTGTGGCAGTGAAACACAGATGAGGCTTTATCATAGTGGACATTAGGCCCGAGGTATATAATAATTTTTCTTCTGAATGCTAAGCAGCAGGCTGGGGCAATGTCCTCATTCACTGTTTTCCCCTTGCCCAGCATTTGTCACAGGAAGGTCTAGCAGGCAGACAGGGCTGTGGTTGGTGACGTTTTGAGATTGTCAAGGTCTATTTCAAGATTGGGAGGGCACTGGAAGGGAGTTGAAAGGGGGAAGAGAATAATCTAGAAACACAAATTTGTGTTTTGAACTACTTTTCTCAAAGTAAGTTAAATTTTTATAATTTGATCTTGTAAGAATACTTCAAGTCCCCAGAGAAAAATTTAAATCCTTACCACATAAGCTAACTTGGGGGCTGAGTATTTCCTACTGGCTGTCATCTACACCCTCTCTTATGCTGCTGCTTTTTTCTGATATTCTAGCAAAACCATGGTTTTTCTGTGTTTTCTTACCCAGAGAACCACCAGTATGTGATTTTGGAAAGGAAAGAGCTGCTGGCTTCTGGACACTGATTCTGATGGGAGAAAAAACCATGGGTGATATTTATACATAGAAATGGGCACATGTCAGATGAATATAATCCCCTTCTGTGCTTCCCCAGGAAAACAACTCAAAGTTACGTACACCCACTGATGCCAATAGTCTAACCATATTGTGGAGGATCAATGGGATTGGGAGACTTTGGAGACTTAGACTTAATAATGTCTCAGATGGAGGAATAAAGAGTATCATTCTTCATATCCAAAGACAATTATTTTCTGAAGCACAAAGCTCTGCCATACTTGTACCTTAAACAGAGCACTGCTGCACAGAAGAGCAGGGGAAGCAATATAAGCCCTATCTACTGGTTTCAGTGAAAATAAACATGAGTATGGATAGAAGAGGTTTTTAGTTTTTCAAAACATACATTAAGTGACAGAGTACTGTTATTCCAAATTCTACTGGTTGCCTTTTAAAACTGTCATCCTTTATACAGAATGGTGCATCTTACATCTCCCAGATACTCATATTCCTGTGTATACCCATAAATTTAAATTCTTGTTTCAGCAATGAAGCAATGCATTATGAAAATCTATGTTATACTTACAGGATTGTTGATAGCTTTAGAGAAGAAGGGAGGATGATCGACCAAGCAAACTAACACAAGTTCTCCTAGCACCAGGCTAGCATAAAGGTAAGTTGTAATGTGGTGGAAGTAGTCTTCCAGGAAGCCCTAAGAAACAGAATACTGTTGAGAATGAGCTAAGAACCTTAACATGACATCAGTGGAGAAACATAGCTTCTCATGTTCTACCAGCCATAAGCTCTGAGTTTTGGTTCAAAACATGAGGTGCATTTATTTAAACTGTAGTTATGTAGAGCTACTTAAATAGGTAACTCCCCAAAATGGAATATCAGAAAATACTAAATAATGGACACATTTATTATTTATAGTGACAGTTTTATTGTGAGGCTTCATAGCAATCTCATAAAGTCAGACATCCACATTGCATCATTATTCAGGGAACTTTGGGTGCTCCGAGGGATAGAAGTTCCTTGCTCACCTAGTGGGATAAGTTGTTGATATAATAAAAAACCTGCCCACTTTTATTATAAATGGTGTGTCTAAAGGGCTCCATGTGGGGTGCTCTGATTAATTTTGTGAATGAGAAAAAACAAGGAAAAAAACCCTGAGTATTTTTGGAAGTGTATTTTGGTAGCAAGAAGTGGCAAAGTGTCATTTCTACAAGAGGCCTGGTGCTGAGTATCATTCAACACAGCAGGAACAAGCAAGTTCCCAACTGTCTTTTGTTTGGTGGCTGCATATTATTCCCCTATTACTTAAACACACAGGTACCACAAACTTTTGTTTATTCCTTGTTGTGATGGAAAGGTACAACTGTTCACCTGGGGAAAACGGCCACTGACAGTAAGTCTCAGATGTGTAAACCCAGCCAGCACGCCTCCACAAATAAATGTTCACCACAAATACTCAAAATATAAAATTGTATATCAGCATATTTATGCTGATAGAAACTCTGGACTAAGGACATTTTTTAGTGACAGTGTTTATGTTCATTTTGCTTTTATTCATATATGAAGTTTGCTGAGCTCTCAGAAAACCACACTATGTCTACATTGAAAGAGATAATATTGATGGAGATGACAAAGTGTCATCAATCATTTTTCTCAGCAAATCTTGAGAGGAATTTGGTTCTCCACCTCACAATCAATGAGGCAAAAAGAGCCCTGCTGTTTAAAGACTTCATCCCCTGCACATTAAAGATATGTGATTTCACTTACTCTTTCCAGGGCATGTTGGACTTTGGAACTAAACATCACAACTGCAGCTATGAATGAGAGCAGCCAGTAAATCAACAGGACACCTGAAGACTGGATGCCCGTCATTCTTTCCACTTGGGTGAGGAACATGGCAAGGATCTGTGAGGAAGTATAAATTTTTGTCCATATAAATAGCTGGTAATGGAATGCCAAACATCATTCTCAAATTAATGGATACAATAGAGAAAAATCAGTTAGTTGCCTGACCAAATATTTCAAGATGTTCAGAGCTGCAGTATTGTTCCTAAAAGGCTAAAAACTGCAGAGCATTATATGCAATTTTGCAGTCAAGAATGCTTCTCCAGAAAGGGCGAGTAATAAAACTACAAGTGGACCATCAGGCTGGGAGGATCTAGCCTATGAAGATGCAATGACAGAAGAGGAGGATAAGTATTTAGGTTGAACAGAAGTCCCATTTCATTCTAAACCATAGTAAATTGCATACTGTGGTTATGAAAAACTAGATATTGTTTTCTTGTTGTGAGACCTCCTTCTAACCTTCTAACCTACTGCTACCTTGGCTCTTGCCAGGTGTACTCTGCCCACAGGGCTCTATACTGTAGCTGTAGACCCAGTGGTCTGCCCCAACTCCGCGTCACACAGCAGAAACTCACAAAACATGTCTCCAGCCTCGTACTCCCCATCAGTAACTTTGTGCTCAAAGATACTGAGAAACATGGGAAATAGAAGATCTGCCCCCAGAGGCCTAAGCTGAGCCACATGCAGACAAAGCAAAGAAAGAATTACCACTGTGATTCCCACCACAGCAGGGCTGATGAAGAATGCCGGAGCCCGTGGGATTCCTTGGCTCACCTCCCACAGTACAAAGAAGACATTAGAAAAACAGAGCATTACCAGGATGCATCCAAGGACCTGGGGCAGAGACAGCAAACACATGTTGGAATGGACTGAAATGATGATGGAACAATCTACTGAGCTGAATGCTCCATGCAGCCTGGGTGGCAATACTGGAGAGGTGGAAGTGCAGATTTGGGACAGAGTGTGTTATGGGAAGCAGCAGGGAACCAAACAGAAGTACAGGGGAAAAGATCTTATGACAGTTCTCCCTAAAACTTTACTTGATTTATACTGACCTGACTTTACCTGAGTCAGTAAATGCAAAGCGAACACAGAAATGGATCATCAGAAATGTTTTAGAAAAATTAAGTTCTGCATCAAAATTGTGATGTTAGGATCAAACCCCATCCTCCACTCTTACCATTTTGGCTTTGAAGACGTGGGACATCCTGATATAGCCTTTGTTTTTGTGTCGAAGATACAAGTAGTAGAAAGGAAAACAGATCCAAAGATAGGCACAAGGTATCCAGGCAATAACTGTACTCTCAAAGCACCAGGTAAATCTTGGGGTGTTTGTATACCACGTCTGGTTCCAGTCCTGTCACACAATCAACACGGAAGTGGAACAGTAAGGCTAATGTATGCAGAATTTCACCAGCTAATGCAAGTTGCTAATGCTACAGGTGAGATCTACTCTAATGTTAGAGGAATTTGATTTAGGGTTTCAAATGCAAAAAACAGTTGGCAACAGAGGGGCTGCTGAAGAACAGTAAGGTGTCACAGGGGAGGGAGGGAAGGAGGACTCAGCAGTAGCATTTTGGAGGAGATGGAAGTAGAGAAGGAGGAAAAAAGGTTGGAAAAGTAAAATATGCCAAAGAAAGGACATCATTTATCACAATTAGAGAGAAAAATAAAATAGGAAAATTAAGTTATTGAATATGGAATGAGAAAAGGTAATTTGGGAATAAAAAAGATTATTGGCATTTGGGAACGATCAGAATAGTCAGTAGGGAATGACCTGTCAAATGGAGGTTAGGAGGAAAGAAGTATCCTAGTGCATAAACTACATCACAACTGCATTTTCTCAGCTGTATTTATAATCTGGTTGTAATTTTCTGACTGAAAAAACACTTAGACCTAATCCGCTAACATAGTAGCAAACTAAATGAATGGGTGAGGGTGTGTTTTCTTCAGTAGCTTGTGGAGGTGGTTCAGGTCCTTTCTGTGGAAGACACGATGCAAAGCAAGGCTAAGGGGAGTCACTCGATGAAAAGAGGAAGCAGGTAACTGCTCACAATAATGGGAGTTTGTCAGCCTTGGGGGGGAAAGCCCTGTGACTCTGGACCGATCGACTCCTTAGAGCTCTTTTAAAGGTATTTCCGTAGCGGGTCGTTCAGCAGATAGTTTCTCAAGACAAAGGGACTAACTCAGCGCCCCTCCAGCAGTGCAGCCGGCCTGCACCCTCCCACCCCACTCCCACCAAGTTTACTGTAACTGATAAAGCCAGGAGTGTCCTCCCGCGGGGCGAAAACCTGTCCCTGGGAGGCAAAGTCCGTTCCACCGGGCACCGCTCCTGGAAAGAGCTTCCCTTCACAGCGTGTCAGCCGCCGGCCTCCTGCTCCGCGGCAGCAGGGTCCGTGGGTCGGTGCCGCCCCGCGGAGCGGCTCTCCCGGCCCCGCGCAGGACACCCCGCGCACCCCGCGCCGGGGCC